CGAGTGAGAAAACAAAGGATCTGCACTAGCAGAAGAAAGTTAGCATGTGTACAACTGATGATGATAAAGTTTATTGTATTAGTTTTAATTTTAAAAGATTTTAAACCATACATTTTGTTGAAACCTTAAATAATCCTAAATATCTAAAAGTAACTACCAAGACTATTTGTTGATGATTTCTCATTAAGAATGTTGAAAATGTTTTCTCAAAAGTAGTAAAAAGCACATTTCTGAGTTGGAACAAGTTGACAGAGTTTTACGTTTAATCTGTCAAAATATAGTACCAATATTCGAATGCCTTTCATGCTGAAGCATACGACTGTCGTCTCCATATATCTTTAGCCTAATAGCATAATTGCCAGTCATATTTCTTAAAAATATTTTTTAATATTTGAATTAATACAATTATTTTATTAAGCTAACAATACGGAAAACACTGAAATTGTAGGGCTTTGTTGCAAAAAAATTGCTCACTGACGATGACTACCCTTGATTTTAGTTGTCGAATTGTCAACATAATCCGCAAAACTTTAATTGTCCCCATGATTTATAAAAGAAAAAAGGACAACAACACTTTGACAACTAAGATAACAAGTTCAGGAAATAAGTTTTCATAAAAAATGGCAAGGAAGAGGTAAGCAGGTCAGCTATGCTAGCTTGACTATGACAACTTAACATGTAGAGGTGCTGTGGAATTTGGCGTTTCGGTTCAATAAAAGAAAAAGAAGGAAAAATGCGACCTAAACACACCAAATCTGACAGATCGTCAGTGGATCCGGTGTTCAGATTAGCTAATCAACCACCGCTGTGTTAGCTTAGCTAATAGCAGCGCTAGCTAATCCACCACAGCAATTAGCTATTAATAATCACAAAATAAAGAACAAGCCTGAAAAACTAAAACTGTAATGGGCTGAATGTTCTTTGTGCAGGAAATGTTTGCGTGTTTCTTGGTGTTGAATCCTGATGCACTAGTGGAGCTGTTGTCAGTCAGTTGCTAAGGCAACGGGGTTTGTGTGTAGCGAAGCCGACACAGAGTGAGAAAAAAATAAGAATGAGTGATTTTGTGTTTTTCTTCCAACGGTTTTTCTGAGTCATATATTTAAATTAATAACAGCTACGTCTCCGGGTTTCGTTTTGCTAGCAGAATTGTTCTACCATAAGTAAAAGACTCGCTTTTGAGCGAAATGAGCAAAATTTCTGGATGTAAATAATAAAATGCAACGTATTCATAGAGAAAATACGAGTGGGCCAAGAACACAACCATGTGGAATCCCCTAATGGGATTATACTGAGTGTTGATGTGTCGTTCTCTAGCGACTGGATTCCTTTGAAAAGGTAGGAATCTCAGTTACTGAGAACTGTTCTTTGTTGTCTGAGAAGAACCAACAACGCACTGAACAGATCGGACTTCAGATGCTATTAGCTTCAAATAATAACTATTTATTATTACTTACTGCCATCTGGTCTGGGATGTATCATTTTTTATATGAATAATTTAGACAAAAACTATAAAAACACTGAGGCTCATACAGGTGAACTGCACCCTATAAAACTGCAGAGGTCGACAGCTGATAAAAAGCACTTCATGGTTCTTCACTTTTTAGAGAATTAGCTTCAAAAGATTAAAGGTTGAGTGGAAAAAGCAGAGCTATATGGTAGATTTATAAATGGAACGGGTTGTAAAATATTTGTTTGTCCCAACCACAGAGCGCACAGAAAAGTCAAACAAATGGCAGTGAAATATCTGGAAAGGAACCGAAGAGGAGCGAAGGCCAGATTTACCAAACACCGTGGGCTAACTGGTAAAAAATACCTGAAGCTATCAGAAAGAAACTTTGACACTTAATCTTTAACATAATTTAATAACTGTCATTATTCCTTTAAAGTCTTCTTCACACTATTGTCTGAGATATTTGGACAATATCATATTAAAATATGGAAACAGGATTATATTTGAGAGAGTTTGGGCTTTTAGTTTTGTTGGGTTCTTAGAGTTGGTTACATTTATTTTTTGAAAAAAATTACATTTAGGAGTATTTTTACTACAGTGTAGTTTAAGTAATTTTATTATGAGGCATTTCTGCTCCTACTTTAGTAAAATTTTGGGATTTTCTACCCACTGAATGAAAATGTTTTAACCAAAAACTCAGCAGACTTTTGTTAGAGTTTCATGAGTTTTTTTATTGAAAGAAACTGATTTGGAAATAAATTTTTTGTTTTTGTTACTTATATGAATTATTGTTTTTGTTCTTAAAATACCAAAATTTCCACTCAATTTTATATGTTGGTCCGACTGATGATGCAATTTTTAAGTATTAATTGATTGATAATTTGACCAGTTTCTCAGTCGACTTTTTACCAAATACTGTTTTACTATTACTTGAGTAAAAATATGTTAAAGTTGAGCTACTTTTACTCCAACTCAATCTGGTGATGTATTTAAAGAAACACTGAAACAAATAAAAATTGCAGGTGCTTCTCCACATGGCCCTCTGCAGACGGACTGACTGTGTATCGCAATAAACGGCGCTCCCTCTCTAAATGGATATTTTTATTTCTCAGAATTAGTTAATTCGTCTCATCTCCGTGTTTTATACGTCCGTGGAAACGGCTGCGTTGAACGAAGGTTTTTCACAGACCAGGACCTGCAAACTGGTACATGAATGTTTGTGGATCTTGTCAAATAAAGGAGAATTTTAAATGTTGACACACATTAAATGTTCATCTGGCAGAGATCATAAAACCCAGCAGGAGGTGCTGAGAAAACAATCGACAGATGATGCAGCAAACATTTCATTTAATCAAGATTCAGCTTCAGTTTAATCATCTCAGCGAGAAAAGATGTTTATTTTGTTTTACCTTCTCTGTCTGCTTTTCCACTCACCCCTATAAACTTAAAACCATCTACTGCTGCTTCAACGTAAAGTTCACTTCTCTGCCTTGCACCTAATTCAGTTCCTGGATTCTTTAATTTACCCTCTGCAGCTCCTGTTTCTGGCTTTATTTGTGAATTTATCCTTTTCAAAGCTTGTTTTTGATCCAGGCTTTCATAGAAACACAGCCGCCAGGGTCAGGTTCTTATTCTTGACATTAGCGCGGAGGCGAACGCTTCAGACGCAAATTCAAGTTTCTCCTAAACCGCCGACCCACGCAGCGTTGCACAAAACAAACTGTCAGCTTCGCAGATTTCCAGGCAAATGTGTCATTCTGTTTCAAGGCCAGTGTTGATGTTTAAAAGGCGAAGAGCATCTCGCAAAAGATGTATTTCTCTTTTTTGAAAGATGGAGAAAATACTGAACCATCTATTCTCAACGTATTGTGGGAATTATAGATGTAGTGGATTATATAAATATAGTTTTGTGATGCAAGAAATTCCCAATGTGTAACACCAGACATTTGAATCAGAGAAATAAAGTAAAGAACGTTCACACAGCAGATTTTTGTTTTGCTAAAATCAGATTTTTTTCACACCGTTGCTCATATTCCTGACTAAATGTGACAAAACGTGACTACCAGTATTTACGATATTAAATATCGTCACAAAGTCATAACAACATGAAAGAAGCTAAAAAAAGAAATGAATGGACATTTGTTGGAGCATTTTTTCGTACCATAAATTGATTAATTCTCTAATATTTCTTCTACATTGTCCCCTCCTTTTTTCTCCTTTGTCTATTTATTTAGATTTCTTTAATGTCATTTACATGCTGCAAAGAACGACTGTTAGCTAAATGAATCCTGGAGGTGATTATTTAGTGCAGAGCGCCACAGCAAAGGGGAAAATAACGTAGAAAAACCGTTAAACAGCTCAAAACCACTGTTTTTCTCACGCTCCGTGTTGGCTAAGCTACCCGTTGCCATAGCAACCGACAACAACGCCACTTCATGTTTCAGGATTCAACACCAAGAAACACTCAAACATTTCCCACAAAAAGAGAACAGAACATTCAGTCCGTCACAGTTTTATGCTTTCAGGCTTGGTGTTAATTTTAGATTATTAATAAGTGATCACTGTGATAGATTAGCTACCACTGCGGTGGTTGATTAGCTCATTTAAACACCTGATCTACTGATCTGCCAGAGTAGGTTTTTAGGTCGACCTATTTTTAAACTTTCTAACTGAACCGAAACACACAGAATTCCACAGCACATCTACATATAAGATTGTCAAAGTCAAGCTAGCATAACTGAACTACTTCTTTTTCCTGACCTTGTTATCTAGTTGTCATTGTGTTGATAATTAGTAGCAAAGCAATGCATCCCTTTTCCTTGAATATATCATGCATACATTTAAGATTTAGCACATTATATTGACAACTTAAGAGCTAAAACCAAAGCTAGCCATCGTCAGCCAGCAGCTTTTGGCCCTCCGACAGAGATATGGAGATGGGATCAACATCAAGATCCACGCTCTTAGTTGAGAAAGTTATTAGTTTTAATTTTTCGGATGAAATATTTGCCACATTAATTATTATAGAAAGCCATTTATTATTTCTATTTTTACCACCTGTTTTGGCACCATCAGTCCTCCATAGAATGATAATAACTTGCACATTTTTACCAAGTTTGAGCAAGTATTATCTTAAACTTTGTTTTCTTTATTGTAGGAACAATAAAAAAGAATGAAAACAAATTAATCACAAAAAGGCAACAAATTCTAGCAGTGTAGATATCTTTGATGATCTCTGATGATAGTGAAGCAATTTAATTATTCAAACAAACTAGTCGTTACTATGGAAAAAGATAATAATCCAATGAGATGTGAGGCACTTTATGAGCTTATTCAGGCTTTTAATTGGTTGTAATGTTTTGCTACTATTTAGTATCAAACAAGACGTTTTTTTATCTCTATTATCCTCATTATAGGAACCGTAATTACCAGATCCAGCTCAAACATGCAGCGCTCCAGAGGAGGTAGTTTGGCTGTTGGTGTGTGAGGATGCAGGCAGCGCCTCACACCTCAGAGCGTCTGAGCGCGCTGGCGGGAGGCGGAGCCTCAGCGGATCAGGTTGGAGGTCCACTCTGGTTGTATTTTCCATCAGAGGAGGCAGCAGGACCGACTGCAGGAAGGAAGAAATCACTTCCTCCACTGCGCTCTCCCGGTTTTCTCTGGCTGCCTCGGTGACGAATGGCTGCCCTCGGAGAAAATTAGCTCAATTCTCCTCTCACACTCAAAAAAAAAATTAAAAGAAAGGTAAGACTTTGTTTTTCTCCTTTCATCCTGCAGCTTCCTTCCTGCACTAAACTACCAATCAGTGCAGCTTCCAGTTTATAAATATTTTTGCTTTTAATTTGGAATGATTAAACATTATGAAAATGTAAACCTTAAAAAAAAAACAGGTAGGTTGATTTAGGAGTTAGAAATGAAAATTAAAAATCCCTAATGCTAATTTAAATTTAGCGGTGGATTCCCGCAGATGCATCCCATCAGTGCAGCGTGATCACGGATGTCGCTCAGGCATTGAATTATGAATTTCAAACAGTGACTCATCCCTGAGGAGAATGGCCAACGTTTTAGGAAATGGACTTCTTCTGATGTAATTCATCACTCCAGTGCTTTTCGCTCTGCAGACGACTCAACAACTGTTAGCATCACAGAGTTTGGAGACGCGCCGACGAATCTAAATGAGTTTTTATTGAGCTGCAGCGTGAAAGTTTTACAGAAATATGCTTGTCTTTTACTTATTTGATAAGTCGTGACCAGAGTTGGGTAGTAACTAGTTACATTTACTCCGTTGTATTTACTTGACTAACGTTTCTTGGGCTTTTTAAAATGTGCTTTTTGCTTTTACTTGAGTAAAGTTTCTGGATTTTCTTCTCACTGAATGAAAAACAAACATAAATTCACTAGATAAACACATACCTGCAGCTTTTCTTAAAGTTTTTCATTGAAAGAAACTGATTTGGAAAACTTTTTTTCCACTTTACATTTTTGGTCCATCTGATGATGTGATTTTTAAATATTACATGATTCGTTCAGTTACTCGGTACTTGACTAGTCTTTTATTTACCGAGTATTCTTCTCTTACTTGAGTAAAATTTCTGGATTTTCTACCAACTGAATGAAAATCAAACATGTTTTATCCAAAATTCACCAGTCACACACAGCTGTATTTTTGGTTAAAGTTTCTGATGTTTTTTATAGAAAGAAACTGATTTGGAAACATTTATTTTGCTTGATTTTGTTATTTTTCATTTATTATATGAATTATTGTCATTGTTGTCCTTAAAATACCAACATTTCCACTTAACTTATACAGATTATGTAATTTTTAAATATTAAATGATTGACAATTTGAACTGTTACTCTACTTTTTACTTTTACTTGGGGTGAACACAAATGCATGTCCAACTTTCAGAAGTTTTATTTCTCTGAAGACAAAAACTTGTTCCCTCAACCTTATGCTCTAAAAACCCATTAAAATCTATTAAAATAGTGGCTGAAGTCCCACTAAAGTGTCTGTTTTTATCTGAATTAGCCTCCTTCCTTGTTAGAGTCTTGTACATTGACGAAGAAGGTCAGGATTGAAGTTGTGGAGATGTTTAAAGATGGGTCAGGTCTTTATCAAGAGATCCCAACATTTTATGCAGATCTGTTCAATTATCACCTAAAATGCACAATGGCACAAAAAAGAAAATCGATTTTTTGCTACGAAATTAACAAAATATGAATATTTCTACCAGAGCCCATGCAACATTTAGAGGATAATCTCCCAGAAAAATATTCCTGCTGAAACAGAAAGCACCAGTGGTCTGCTAATTGCTGCTGACTAGTCTGAAGGAGCTGATATGCTCTGAGGAAGAGCATATCATCTCCATGGTTGCCATGGAGATGAAAAAAATTCTCAAACATGCATGAAAGAATTAAAGCGACAGACGGGAAATATTAGTTATTATAAATTAACAAAATATGAATACTTCTATGACGTTTAGAGGAAAACTTCTCGGGAATAATAATAATAATAATGGAGAAGTTGGGTTGCGGTCTGAGAGAGGAATTCAAATGATTCTCAGGAATAACAATAATAATGGAGGAAGTTGGGTTGCGGTCTGAGAGGAATTCAAATGATTCCTCTCTTTAAAAGACATGGCCGCCTTACAGTACGTCCATACCATGTGTGATGACGACGCTCCCTCGGCTTTTTCAAGCCACATTAGTCCGACTAACAGCCCTGCCTGTTTCAAACTGAACAGCGTTTTCTCCATGATGGTTCCCAAGGACGAAGCTTTAGTCCATTACATCCTCTAATGCAGCAACAAGAGCAGAGCCGCCTTTACATTTCACATGTAAATTATACCGCTGGCTGCTGGCTTTTGATCAAATCTTATCTCTGGAGGACGAGAGCAGGGGTTCAGTTTCAGCTACCAGCAGAGAAAATGCCGTTTTCCTGAGAGGCATCATTGTAACATCTCCATTATTGTCGCGTTTTTGCAGCACAAATTGAAGAGAAAGAATGAAGAGGAAGGCAGTGTGATTCTGCTTCCAGTGAAGCGATGAAGGTTGGGAGGGCAGGGAGGCGATGACCACCCTGAAAAGGTCATTTCACACATTATAACCCATCATCATTTCATCTGTGTGCTGCTCTCCGCCTGCTGCCCTGCAACAATCTCACCATACATGAATGAAACATGAACTGGAGAGAGTTTGGCTGCATCACGACCAGCCGCCGTGCTGAGCCGGGAATTAATGAAGCCGTTTAATCTCCTCAATGTTGTGCAGCTCCATTGCTCATGCTAATTGATTCATTTCTGCATCAGATTCACAAAGCAGATAGCAGGAAATGCAGGGAGGAGGAGGAGAAACTCCACCCATTAACTTAAAAAGATGGCGGCCATTCTCACCTGTTTTTCTCCAATTTATTTTAGTCTGTTTTTTAGTGTTTGCACATTTTATTTTAGCAAATTTTTTGGCTATTTTATCTGAAATGGCATACAATTCAAACCCTTCCAGACAGAAAGTATCAGCAACGATGCAGCCAAATTTGCGGAAATTTTGCAATTGATCCAAAAAAAAAATTATAGAAAAAAGTCACAATTTCTCAGCTTAAAAAGTAAAAAAAAAAATTCTAGAAAAGAACACAGATATTTTGCAATTAATCTAAATAAAATTCCTAGAAAACAATTCGGAAATTTCTGAGCTTGAAAAGTGAAAGATTTGCTAGAAAAAACTAGGAAACTTTGTAATCGTTTTCAGAAATTTTCTAGAAAACAATGTAGAATTTTCTGAACACGAAAAGTAAAAAAAAAACCTACAAATTTTGCAACTGATCTAAAAAAATTCTACAAAACAATTTGGAAATTTGTTACCTTGAAAAGTCAAAAATTTTCTAGAAAATATGAAACGACTCCAGCCAGAAAACAGTAATTTTTAAGCCTGAATAAAATTTTAAAACACTTTCTTGTTGATATGAAGTTAATTTCAAAAACAGAGCCAATCAGAAGCAGTTTCTACTCGATCAATAGAACCGATATTTTGTAAGGAGGTGAATACTCTGCAGAAACATTCAGGTGTGAACCACATTATCACCCTGCAACAAACAGCAGCAGCATCAATGGCTTCACCTGTCAGTGGTCGTAATGTTATGGGGTTTTTATATATGTGGCTGCAACAATACCTCTATTTATCAAAGCCCATGCAAATAAAATCTACCGATTGTCACCCAGACGACCTCCCAACATAAACATGTCGCCTGCCGCTGACTTACTGCACCGCCCATCAATCGCCTCCAAACCAGAGAGCAAACCGCGTGTTGCTGCAGAGGAGTGAAGCATCACTGATGCTGCTTTTCCTTTCCTCTGCTCGGCGCTCATTTATTTCCTGGTTGACCCTCATTTCCCTCTAACACACCAACACTCCCACACTCAGACAGAAAACTCCACACAGGAGCGCAACTTTGTACTTTCTGAGGTTCCTCTCTTATGAATCACATCATTTACACTCACAAGAAGCTGCTAAATATAGGAAATGCTGACGAGAAATAATATTTACACCATTGTTTTGGTGCCCACCTTAGCGCAGCACCTCAACAACACAAAAAAAAGAAAAAATGGAGTAAACTTCTACCAAAAAACTTGAGGTCCATCTCAGACATTTTCTGGAAAAGAACTTGGAAATTTCCAAGTTTGAAAAGTCAAAAATTTTAAGATTAACCTCAGAAATTTTGTAGAAAATACTTTGGAAATTTCTGGGCTTTAAATCAAAGATTTTCTGGAAAAAACTCAGAAATTTTTGAGAAAATTTTAAAATTTCTGGGCTTGAGAGAAGAAAAAAATTCTTCTAAAAAGCAATTTGGAAACTTCTGAGCTTGGAAAGAAACATGTTCTAAAAAAAACTCAGAAATTTTGAGACTAATCTTTAGTATAAAAATAATTTTTTGTAGACAAAATTACATTTCTGAGCTCGAAAAGTGAAAAATTTGAATGCTGAAATTTTTCAGAAATTTCCAAATATTTTCTAGAAATTTTCTAAAATTAATCCCACTGGTTCCAGCAGTTTTTTTTTTCTTACAAATATTCAAGTTTTTCTAACAGGAAATTTCCAGATTACTTTTAATCTCAAGGTCTCTGAGTTCTTTCTCAATTTTCAGCTTTTCAAACTGAGAAATTTCCATGTTTTTACTAAAAAAACTAATCTAGTAAAATTTCTAAATTTCAGAGTTTTTTGGCAGAAACCTACTTTTATCTACAACAGCCTTAATACTTTACTTACACGTGCTAAACAGGTGTTAAAAATTGTCACTGTGAATAATCTCTACACCATTGTTTGGCGCCCCTGTAGGGCAGCACCCACATGTGTTGCATAGAGCATAACCTGTTGTTTTTACAGCCCTGCCTCCTCACACTAAGAAATCTCATTATAACTGTACTCAGAGTCACAGTTCATTCCAAGCAGTTCACCTCTTTCATTTCTGCTCCGCCTCAGGCTCCTGAAATCGCAGCATCCAGTGATGGGGAGTGTGTGGTTCCGCCTCACAACAGGACGTGCAGCACAACAAGTCTTTGATTCTGCACAGACATGCGACAATGACTTTTTTTAAAATGCTTTTTCATTCTGCCGCAGCTTATCTCTGCCGGTGACATTTCTCACTCTGAAAGGTACGGAGTGAGACTATCGGCACCTGAAGCGCTCGCAGGGGGCTTGTGTAGCGCACTCCTCACGGTTCAATTGTCCGCCTGTCATCCGACGAATGACATAAAGCCCAACACACACACACACACACACACAGACACACACACACAGGCACTCAGACACAGAAAGACAGACCTTCAGCAGAGCTGTCGCTGGCGCTTGGTGGACTGTTTGCCCTTAAAAACATAATTATATGGCTTTCATTTATGGCCTCGCTGCATGCTTGGTTGGGTTTCTCATAATGCTGCGAATGATTTTGCTGTTGCTCCCTGGAGATCATCATTTCCACTCTGGTGTCTTTGTGTTTACATCTTATTTTAATTCAAAGTGATGAAGCTGAGCGTTAGTTCAGAGCTTCAACATGGCCAAACTGAACCGGACCTACGGTTCAGATAGGAGGTACTTTGGTCCAAAAACAAAATTACTATTATTTTTAACTTTAATGTGAAGGAATTAAAGAAACTGGGAAACTGGGAGTAGTTTAGTGGATCCGAATTGCTCCTTGTATCCAAACCTAAGAGGTTGGCTTGAAAAACTATGACATTCTTTATATTAATCTCAGAAATTTTATAGAAAAGGACAAAAATGTCTGAGCTGGAAAAGTCAAAATCTGATGAGAAGGAGCCCAGAAATTTTAAAATTAATCTCAGAAATTTTATAGAATTTTTATTTTGAAAATGTCTGAGCTTGAAGTCAAGATTTACCAAAAAAAAAAAAAAAAACTCAGAAAGTTTTATCTGAGAAATTTGATACAAAAGAACAAAATTTCCAAATTCAAAAAGTCGAAAATTTCAGCCAAAAAAACTGAATTTTTTTGTGTGATTAATCTCAGAAATTTTGCTAAAAAAATTTTGAATTGAAAATTTCTGAGCTCAAGGAATCCAAAATTGATGTAAAAAAAAAATTAAAAAAAACTCAGACATTTTCTAGAAATAATTTGGTAGTTTCAGAGTTTGAAAATTTGATAACTGATTAAATTAATCTTGGAAACTTTACAGAAAAGAACAACATTTCCAGATTCAGAAAGTAAAAAAAAATCCACCATTTCAGATAAATATAAGAAATTTTGGAAGAAAAAATTTGGAAATTTTTGATTTTGAAAAGTTGAAAATTGGTTTGTAAAAAACATAAAACTTTGTAGAGAAGAAACTTGAATTTTTGAGCTTAAAGGCAAACATTTTTCCTTTAAAATTTAGATAATTTCCAAAAGTGGAGCAGTTTAGTGGGCCTAAATAACTCCTGGATCCAGGCCTTAGGGGTGCAGCTCTCTACTGATAGACTCTTAGATCACATATTGGAATCAATTCGTTTGATTAGTTTCTTTCCGTTTGTTTCAGTCTTTCCTTCGACTCCATCTGGGTGTCTTTACTTTGATTTCGTTTGCAGAGGCAGAAAGACAACAGGCTGCGATACTTCTGGATAATTGTGTGTTTTCTCTACTTCATTACTCTGATCTCTGCTGCAGATCTAATGAAGGGAGAAGATTGTTATGTATACCTTTTAACCACGTCTCAGATGTAATGAGCTTTGTTTTGCCATTTGCGTTTAATGTGTTTTGTCATTTGGCTTCTCCACCCACAGAGAAACAGCATCTCTTCGCTTTGTTTACTGGTAAATGTCACTAGTATGAATATTTTTCCTTCTTCTACAGATATCCTGACCAGTGGCTGCTTTTTGAGCATTTCCAGACCGACTGTGACCAAACTTGACGTTCAGCCAAAGGAACCCGAACCTCATGATTCGGGGCAAGAGAGTCAACGGTGCATCTGCAAATGAAGCGGCAGAGCGGTTTGTGCAGCTGGAGAAGCTTTTGTCCTCTGTTGGAGCGCGACCATAATGGTTCCCACTGAGAACACAAGTGTTTTCTCGCCAGATGACTTCTGCCCCAACTGCAGCTCGTCCGCCCAGTCCGAGGTGCATGTGGCGAAGGCGGTGGCGTTGGCGGCGGTGCTGGTGGTGTTTCTGTTGTTCGGCGTCCTTGGTAACATCCTGGTCATCCTGTCCGTGCTGCTCCATCACCAGTGGCGATCCGTAACGCATTATTTCATCGCCAACCTGGCAGCGGCGGACCTCTTGCTGAGTTCGGCCGTGCTGCCGTTCTCGGCCACCTCGGAGGCGCTGGGCCGGTGGGTGTTCGGACGCTCCTTCTGCAACGTCTGGGCCGCCCTGGACGTCCTCTGCTGCACCGCCTCCATCCTCAGCCTCTGCGTGATTTCCATCGACCGCTACCTGGCGGTGAGCTACCCCCTGCGCTACCCGGCGATCGCCACCGGACGGCGCGGCCTGACGGCGGTGGCGGCCCTCTGGGGAGTCTCCGCTGCAATATCGGTGGGCCCGCTGTTCGGCTGGAAGGAGCCCGACCCGGAAGACGAAACAGAGTGCCGAATCACGCAGGAACCTGGATACGCCTTGTTTTCCGCGTTGGGGTCTTTCTACATACCGCTAGCCATCATCCTGGCCATGTACTGCCAAGTCTACACCGTGGCGAGACGAGAAACCAAAAGCATCAGGGAGAGCACGAAGGGAGAGGAGGTGGAGATGGGAGGAGTCACGCTGAGGATGCACAGGGGAAACGCGGCGGCTCAGGCGGGGAAACACGAAGATGGCGAGGAGGCGGGGACGCACAAGCGGCCGTCGTTTCCTCTGCCGAAGCTGCTGAGGTTCTCAGGGGAAGAAAAGGCGGCCAGGACGCTGGGCATAGTGGTCGGCTGCTTCATCCTGTGCTGGCTCCCCTTTTTCCTGGTTTTACCAATTGGTAGGTAACTAGAAAATGACTTTTTTCATTGCTCATTTTTGCGTGACATTCATGACAGAGGGTTTCCCCCAGTGTATTATAAGCCTGGTGGGCCACCAGGCTTTATTTGTGCCCCCACCAGGTTTAGCATTGCTTATTTAATTAAGTTTTTAAAAAATGTTTGCATTTTTAAAACTTTATAGTTGGTGTTCAGATGTTCATCTTCCAATAACACAGAATTATCAAGTCATATCTCCAAATTTCCTGTCAACTGTAAACATTTTTTAACTCGAACACACGGCGGGCCGCTGGATGATCGCCCCAACCACCTGGCTTAGCCGGTGTCATCAAACCTTGTGATGATAATGTACGATATTCTGTTCTCCTGTCACCTAAAGACGTGGTTATTCGTACTGTAAAGCTACAGATATCGCTCGTCTTTTGTAGTTTAATAATTTTCATTCAAATTACAATTTGTTTCTACATGGTTTCTTCACACCAGAACACAAGACGTTACAAAGCGAATACGCAACTTTTAAAACTTTTTAACTTATAAAACGCCTTGCAACTGAGCTTGCAAGGCGTTTTATAAATGTTTGATTTTTGATGTAATTATTAGAGTCCCACCAACACAGTGTTGTCATAGTGTTAACAATTAGTAGCAAAGCAGCTTTTCTTAAATGCGTACATTTCAGATTTAGCGCATTATATTGACAACTTAACAGCTAAAACCAATGCTAATCATCATTAGCCAGCAACTTTTTGCCCTCCAGCTGAGGGATGGGGTGAAGTCACTCTGCAAGGGGAGATAAATCTGACCTATGGATGAACTAAGATTAAATTTTCTGACATTTTGGTTTACATATTCACAACTACACATTCTAAAACACGTATAAGTGAAATTTCTACCCAAGTAGAGCTTCAGTTTCTTCTTTTAAGTGTTTTTTTTTTTTTTTTGTTGCGACCATGAGATAGCTATGCCTCATGTTGTGAGGAGAGTTCAGGGGTGCCAACATAACATGTCTGAGTGTTTATTAAAAGCAAAAGTAAAAGAGCCACAGAGAAACTGCAGAACCACAGTTTCAACCTTTCCAGAAGTGAGTATCTGTAGTAAATTGCCGTCACTGCGCAATTTGTTTGCAGCTGCAGCAGACTTGAGCGATTCAACCAGAGGGAGCAATTAAGCTCTGCTTTTCCAAGCAAGGCTCGGATTTGATGTGCCTGCCAAGAAAACAAGTTATTATGTCAGATGATTTATGCAGGAGAAAATGGATATGTCACCAATGTCTTTGTTTGGCCTGGATGGATTCACGCAAATTGAGCGCTACTATTATTCAATGCCCCTAATCTTATGTTGGCATATACAGAATAAACTTAAAAAGTTCACTTTAAGTCTGGAAAAGTTTTTCAAGATGTTTATTGATGAATTTCCACAAACAGGTAAAGTTAGAGAGACATAAATAACTTTTTTGTTTTTTGCTTTTGTGGCAAAACTGTTAAACTTAACAGTTTTAGACGGGGAAAAAATTTGATTAAAATACATAAAAGTATATAAAAAATATTTATTAAATAACATTTATAATTTGAGAGGATCGCCAAATACGTCAGAACTATCTACTTATAGACCAGTCTAAAGAAACCAAAGAGTATGTCAATTTTTACTTAAGTAGAAAAAATATAATATTCTATCCAGGCATAATGAAGTATACTGAGTCAGTAGAGTGAACCCACTGCAGTACCTCGCACACCACTAGGGGGTGCCAGTGGACCACAGTTTGAGAAAGACTGCTCTAAATCATTAAGTCCAGTGGAGCAATTTTAGCCAGGATGTGGAGGAACAAACAAATTGTAGTACATAAAAATGCATCATGTTGCCAAGTCGATACCAACCAAAATCCCAGAGGAACATTGAATCAATGCCACAAAGAACAAAGCCAACTTTCATTTAAGGTCCAAGGAAAGATTAACTCTTTAAAATGCAAAGCTGTAACATAAATTAGCGCTTTAGCAGCCACTTTTGTTGAGGCATGAACCTTGACGCTTTAATTAATTCGCTGTGAGCATGACAACAGGGAGGCCATCTTTTTTTGACTCCTGTGTCTTGACCCAACTCGGTCTATTACGTCGCTGAAAGGAGACAAAGAAATTCAATTACAAGCAAGCAAATAGAGCAAACAAAATGGTACAATGGGCTTCCTCTGCGAGATGAAATGGAATAACCCACCTATTGCTCTCATCTAAGAGAAAACTATTATAGATAACACGCAGGAGGTTTAATGGACTGCAATACCAGAGTCACCGCTGACTCCCAAAGCAGCCAGTCATATAAGGAGAGTCATGCATTTCAATGGAGACAGACCTTCACAGCTCATGAAGCTGCTCTCAGACTATCACTGCCTCAGCGTTTTCTATGACATTCTCAGAAAAACCGCATTTATGTTCAAAACTCTGTGGATGAAAAGCCCGTTTCAAGCCTGTTAATGACAGCTTTCAATGAAGCTGCAGAGTTACTGCAAGAGCGCCAGTTGTTTACAAGGCAGCTCCATTTTCTGAACACCAAAGTGTCTGTAAACGCCTGTGACGCATCGATTTAAAGAGAATCAACAGACCAGGAAACTGGACAGATTTGTGAATCTATGAGGAAAGGCACAAAGTGGTTTTCATCGAATTTCGATTATAAAAGTTAATATTTCGAGCGTTTTGGATGAGTGCACATGCATTTTGAGTCCAGCAGTAGGCAACAGTCCAGCAGTAGGCAGGGAGCCCCAACAGGATTAATTTAGTCTGAAAGTGGCTGGAAAAATGCCACATTTCAGCATTTTCCAGCTTTGGATTAACATGCAGACAGAAAAGAGTAAATATTTTCAGCTTCTGACCCTTATTTCAGGTTCTTTTGTTTACATGATAAATACCAGACTTTCTAAACATAAGTTGCTCCAATCAGATGGGTGTGAGCTGCGTTAATCTTTTTATTACATCTTAAAATTAAATCACCAATTGATTGAGAATCCTGGAAATTTAAAACCTGACTAGCTCGATTAAAAGCTACTTGTACGTTAGTTTTGTCTCGTCTTACTTGGTAATATTTTGTATTTTTAAAGTATTGCTGATGGATTACTATCAAATAAATACCAATAACACTGACAAAAAACAAGGTCTGGAGTCAACTTATTGCAATGCTGAACTCTCCTGTTGAAGCTCAACCAGTTTATAGTCAACATTTCTAAATTAAAATGTATTCTGATTACATTTTTTTTATCAACTGAATTAGTAATTGACTTAGTAATATTTTGGTGCCACTCTCTCAATTTCATCCACCATTGAACGGCTGATGAATCTGAGACCGGCAACAGAAAATAACGGCTCATTCCAAAGAGCATCTAGAGCAAAATATCAAGCGATTGTTGTGAGTTTGGTGTGAAAGGACCATAATCCTTTGTGAATTACAAAATATTCAGAATTAATTTGTGCACCAAATTCTTGCTCAGTAACTTTCTCCAGGATGTCAAACCCTCCCTTACACTTCTACCTAAGTTTTTTTTTTTACTTCTCTTTCCTCAGGCTCCATCTTCCCATCCTGTAAGCCTCCTGAAACCATCTTCAAGATAACCTTCTGGCTGGGTTACCTCAACAGCTGCATCAACCCCATCATCTACCCGTGCTTCAGCAGGGAGTTCAAAAAAGCTTTCCACAACATGCTGAGAGGGCGCTGCGTAAGAACCGCTGTCCCCGTTACCAAGCAAGGACACATCGCCGCTCATTCCTCCAGCCCAGGTCCAACATCCAACGCGTCCGTTAGCTCCGTCCAAAACCGCGCCGCCGCCGCTTCTTCTTCATGGGCTTGCTGCAGGACTCTGTCAACGTCATCATCGTCTGTTGGCGGTCAAGACCCGGATCGGGTTGGACACGTTCAGGGGAAAGGTCTGTTAAAGGCCTGGTGCCTTTCAGCCCAGCGAACCACGGTACCTCAGAACTCATCCACAAACGGGTCAGCTAAAGTCTTACACCTCTCTCTTGGCATTTCCGGCGACGCCGTTTAATTGGGTTCTCAGAGTTCGGGACATTCAGTCTTGTTATCAAGCCTCCTTGGAGGAACAATTATCTACAACTCTGTCGTCAAACGCGAGATAAAAATGACTGCAGAAAGAAAAACATGCATGCTCAGCAGGAAACTTCTGGACCCGTTCTGCTGTTGGACTGAGCCAAGCCTGAACACAAAGATAGACGCCATTTCCTTGTATGCTTGCCAAGGATTAAAAGAGATGCAAGCAATCTGCTAAAAAAGAAACTGCAAAGCAACCAACGGGATGTGATTGATCTAAACATTCTGCAGTTTGCACCAAAGGGAACGACTGTAGGGATAATTTCTACGAAGGAAGCTGGTGTCGGACTGAAGCATTTCAAACGACAATGTCACAACAGAAATGTTCGGTGCCTTGTTTTCACACTCATTTGTCAAGCTATCGCCACACTCCCAAACACGTTTGGTTTTGGGGATTTCATGTGACAGAACACCATGAAATATAAACCCAGCTGTCCTTTGACACCGTTAGAGGTTTGAGAGAGAACATTCGTGAACTTTAGCGCCAAAAATTAGATTATCCACCCAAAGGTGGCTATTTTCTCGTCACAGGAGATTATATCGATTCTAAAGCCAATTACTGATCTGAATAATGATAAACAATGGTAACTGGTATGTATGCTAGTTGTTAGCCTCTGCAAAGCTAACTTAAGTGATTACCTCCTTCTCATTTGCTTATTACTGGCTCCAGTCTATAATCAGATCAGTTTATGGGTTTATTTAGGATATAAACTTTCACAACAAGGAAGTAGCCACTGCTGCCTCCGCAATAGTCTTAATTTTGGCCCCAATGACGCACCATATTCAACAAATCGCATGAAGACCAAGGAACAGATCAGGCAGGTCAGGAAAGAAGCCAGAGAAGTTATAGGGTGTTTTCACACCTGATAATCCAGCAGTTTTAGCTCGACTGGGAGCAGAATTGCAACATTTGTTACATTTCCAGCTGCTGTGGTTGTTATTCACACTGCACTGTGTCCAACAATCCAAACTAATTGAAAAAGCTGTTCCCCTCCTCGCCTGTGGGGGTGCTGCACAAAGAACCACTGAAGGAAACGACATGAAAAACTCAAGAGAAGACACTGAGCGCAACTTCACAACACGTAAACAGAAAAAAAGCAGTCGTAGGATTTCTGTTTTGTCTTTGGTAAAAGACCACAACACATTTCTACCGCTAGCACTAGAATCACACATTTGTTTGTTTTAGTTGTGCTTACCAAGAATGCAATGCGCTGTAGTTCACTTCCTGATTTTGGAGCGGTCTCCAGTCCACTTAGTGTTCACACATGCATTTGAACCACAACAGAATTCACTTTAACCGAACTGAGACCAAAGTTTATAGGTGGACCAGAGTTCGATTTCGCGTTCACTTCCCCAAACGAACCAAACTTTGTAGAAACTAGTATTAGAAATTACAAAACACAATGGTGTGAATTCATCATTAGCGTTAGTTTGGATTGTTTGTAAAAAAAACACCAATGAGCAACCAACGTCTCTATCCTTCACTCCCATATGTTAAATCCTCACACATTTTGCGCGAGAGCAGCAAATAAACCAAGATTCCTAAACGCTCGAGGCTTGCTAGCTTGAGAATTGGGTTTGAATGTTGAAAACATTTTCAAAATGTCCTTTTGAGAGTTGAACATGAGCCTAAAGTGGAAACTCTGTGCTTTAATTTCACTCTACCCACACTGAATTAATTAAAGGAGAAGATTGGAAATTATAGTTTCGTACCAGAGTCATTTGACGAATGCATGATTACATTTTTGTTACTTCGCTATCACCCCTCGAGCTTTGAAACAATTTCATCAAATAAGTATTCTCCCTAGTGATACACATTGCCAGGTTTAAAATATTCTGAAGTTAGCCAGAACTTGCTTCATTTTGTGTAGAAGAAAACAGGTTAATTTTTATTTTTCAAGTCAATATAAGAGCAGCTCTTGTAGTGGTGAAAGCTTCAAAACACTGCTAGCCTAAACCGAGCGTGTCCATCATGTCTGCATCCGTTTTTGCCTTTACAGCTGGTTTCTCGAGTGATTGTCTTGAAATTAAGTCAAGAAGTGTCACATCTGACTCCATCAGTTTGGACATTATTCATGGAAATAAATGCACAAGCCCCCTATTAGACATTCAGCTCTCATTTTTCGAGAAGCAGCGGATCCAAAGGGTGACGCTGCAGCCGTCGCATTAAGGCAACGGCTGTCGTGATGAATGGATCCGGGTTCCCGTTACTGGAAAGACGGGCTTTAACCCAATCAGTTGACTGAGGAATGTGAAGTGTCATCACAAAGGGTGGTTATGATGAATCCTGTCAGAGCGATGCAGATGACGTGAACTGAAACTGAATCGACAGCCTGTGGTTTGTGTCAAACTGGAAGTCTTTTCCTGCTGCAGAGTATCAGGGTTTCTCCGAGTGAATTAATGTGAAATTTTCATTGATTAAAAAAAAACAAAAACCCTACTGGATTTGATGACTTGTAAAAATCATTTCCATTGCAAGACTTTTGTGAAAATGTGCAAAAATGGACATTCTTTGTTTGCCACAAAAGAAAAAGACCAAATCCTTTTGCCTTGTTTATAGTGCAAATATCTTATCACACGTTAAATAAGACAAAACTAAGTTTTAACAAGATATAGGAGCTTGTTTAAAATCAATAATTATTGAATACTGATCAAAAGTACTGGTCCTACCAGCAGATTATTTCACTTGTAGGAAAATGTGTTGTTATAAGTTGAACAAATACTTTTTTGAAAAATCTATTTTAAGGAATTAAAACAAAGCTGGAGATAGGCACCAGCACCCCTCCCAACCCCCATTGAGGGACAAGGGTGAAGGAAAATGGATGGATGGATGGATGGAATTAAAACAAGCTCATAAAACTTACTTTTAAATGAGTTTTGTCTTATTTAAAGTGCAAAAAGATATTTGTCCTAGAAATACCTGGTAAATGTTGGTGTATTTGCAGCATATTTCATGTTCTGGAAAGAATCATCCTGATAAAGTTACCAAAGTTTGCTTCAGTGTTGTCTACTGGAATTATTTTCTGTCTTATTAAATGTAACAAAATATTGCAATGCACCAGATGTCTAATCCTGACAGAATGCAACTTAATACCTGGGTATGAGGGACTAAAATGATACTGCAAAGAAAAATAAACATCATCAACCTGCTCAGTAAAACATGTTCTTCTGATACAGCAAGACAGGGACTCTATTGAATAACAAATCAAATATTGATCTCCTATATTTCATTAATCAACAAGAATGATATAATCCCACAGAGTAATCAACTTATTATGGATCTTATATTATTCTACACAAATTTAACAGTAAATCAATGCAAATATTGTCTTTTGTCAGTTCAGCTGCTTTCTGGGTTCCCAAAGGTCTGCTTAAAAGTGCAAACTTTCAGACTTGTCCAACAGTGTATTAGGGCCATTTTGTAGGTAGAAAAACATTTATTAAGTAAAGTCTACCCCAAACAAAAGTCTAGAAAAAAATTTATAAATTTGTGTTCCAAAAGATGAACATTTGCAAGAAAGAAACTCAAATTTTGAGATTTATCTCAGAGGTTTTCTTTAAAAATCTTGACATGTTTTGAGCTCCTAAACCTGAAAATGTTCAACTTCACTAAAGTTGAAAGTTTCAAAAGTTGAACATTTTGAACTTTGAGCTCAGAAATGTCCAAGTTTTTGATAAAAACCTTCAGAGATTAGTCGTAAAATTCCTGAGGTTTTTCACGCTAATTGTTTTACTTTTGGAGCTTAAAATCTTTTCATGTTTTATCTAGAAAATGTCTTAGATTAATCTGAAAATTTCTGAGTTTTTTCACACTAATTTTAGACTTTTGGAGCTGAAAAATTTCCAAGTGTTTTATAAAAAATTTCTGAGGTTAAGCTCAAACTTTGAGGGTTTTTTGGCTGAAATTTAATGTTTCTTTTTCCATTTTCAAAGGCCCTAATATGAAGTCATAGACCAGTTTTACTGTACAGTTAGCCTCAGCATTTTTATGTAACTGCAGTTAAACCATCATGTTTGATGCAGTTAAAGCAAAATAAACAAACTACCTAATAGTAGGAGATCATATAATATCCCACAAAATCTTATGTCAATTACAAAAGTGGCTTGAATTGGCTCAACACTATCGATAAAGGTTACACAATATAAATATTAGCTGAAAAAGACTGCAAACACAGGATAAACACGTTATACTAAATAAAAATAGTTCTCTATTATCCATTCATCATCTTTACCTGCGTGTCATCCCAGGATCCAGCGGCCATTGAGCCTGAAGTACGGACTCTGAACGGGTCACAATCCTTCACGGACAAATACGACAAGTTAGCTAAACATGCTACTCGCTGCATTAGCTATTTATTTAAGGTGATTTATCTCTCGACAGTCTTGCATACATGTCAGGATGGTGAAGAGTACGAAGTACAGTTCTTCCATGAACAGGTTCTTCCACCTGAACAGCTGGTTCTCAAAAAGGAGCTCCAGATTGACTTCAACATGCTAAACATGTTAGCTTGTAGCTAGCTACCGTTAGCCGACCGGAAGAAGTAAAAATTAGCTTAGAATGAGGTCTCCGTCTCCCTGTAAGATCAGACAAGGGATAAATAAATATTTTTAGGATGATGCGTAAAATATATCATCGTAAAAATATCTTAAAAGTCGAACATTTTATATGACTTTTTGATAGGTATTTTTCGACAACCTACGTAAAAGACAACTTTTGTGAGTTTTTACCAAACTTTGATGAAAACAGCAGATGCAGAGGACCGCTGCAGCGCGCTGCCCACCGCGCCTTCTGAAAACCTTCAGTTTGAGATATCAGTGAGAGAAAGTTTTAAACACAGCAGTCTGAAGTTTTAACACAGACAGCGAAGGGCCAACACTTCTAAATGAAGATCACAATTATCTATAATATAAGACTGCTAAGGTAAGATTAATAATCTAAAGTAATATAAATGTAAAGATTATAACACAAAAATCCTCACACTCTGTGTTCTGGAAAATTATAGTTTAAAGTCTGACCATTCTTGCAGCTAAGGTTAACTGAACTGTGCAATACAGAGGTGCAATTCTTTTTACATTTAACATATAATTGCAGCATTGTTTAAAAAGACTTGAAATTAAAAGTTTCAGACTTTGGACTTGAGAATAAAGACTTGAGTTTTACTTGAGACTTACAAAACACTGACTTGGTCCAACCTCTGAAAGAAACACAAGCATCTCGCGCTAATGGAGGAATATCTTGTGGACTTTTACCAAACACAAAAAGAAACTGGTCCTACTGACGCTCCTCCATTTGTTTAGTTTTTGTGAGGAAGGAGGTTTTGCTCAGTGTTTTCTTCAGAGCTTTTTGTGTTATTACCTTGCTGGTGTAGCGCCCCCACAGGTGAGGAGGTTAACAGGTTCTTCAATGTGTTTGGTTTGTTTGACACAATGTAGTCTGAAAATGAACCAAATGTTGCAGTTTCTGTTCCCAATCAAACCGAGTCTACTGGACTACCAGGTGTTAAAACAACCTGAGTGAAGTTGGCCCCCCCACCTTCTTCAAATCAGACAAAATTGGCATCAAGTGTTTGTGCTACGTTTGTGCTGGTTTGTGCAGCAAAAATTTTCGTTTGCGCCGCTATCATTTTAAGGATATAAAGAAATGTTTCCAGAGGTCATCCAAGGTCAACCAACCCCCCACTTTCTTCAAACCAGACAAAATGGGGGTCAATGAACTCAGCTACGTTTGTGCTGGTTTGTGCAGCAAAAAGGTCAAAAGGTCAACCAGCCCCCCCACTTTTATGAAATCAAACAAAATTGGTGTCAAACGTTTGTGCTACGTTTGTGCTGGTTTGTGCAGCAAAAATTTTCGTTTGTGCCGCTATCATTTTAAAGATATAAAGAAAGTTGGATTTTATAAAAGTTGGGGGGGCTGGTTGACCTTTTGACCTTTACACTTTCATTAATATCTTCAAAGCCAAAGCAGCACAAACAAAAAATTTTGCTGCACAGACCAGCACAAACGTAGCCGAGTTGATTGACACCCATTTTGTCTGGTTTGAAGAAGGTGGGGGGTTGGTTGACCTTGGATGACCTCTAGAAACATTTCTTTATATCTTTAAAATGATAGCGGCACAAACGAAGATTTTTGCTGCACAAACCAGCACAAACGTAGCACTAACGTTTGACACCAATTTTATCTGATTTGAAGAAGGTGGGAGGGCCAACTTCACTCAGGTGTTAAAACACCCTAAGTATAATAACTATGCACAAGTAAATACTTAGATGAGACAGAATCAGAAATTATTCTGGTGAAATGTTTCTGTGAAATGTAAAAGCCCAGAAATATCGAGGTGTGGAGAATATTCAACTGGAAAAATGTAGTTAGATTCTTTCATAACCCTGAATATATTTCAAACACAAATATGTTTGATGTGCTTTGATACTAACAGTGGACACCATCTTAGCAACACGGCACAAGCTAACAGCCATGGTCTTCCTCATGTTGCTGTTCAGTGTCACATCAAGACAGTTCAGTTAGATTTAAAATTATATCAGGAGTTTCTTTCACTCTGGTTTTTATTTTTTTACACCAAAAAGCAGCTTTTTTTCTACATGCAGACTAAAAACTTAATATTCGTCCATAAAACAGGAGCGGTTGATCTCTGCAGCTCCTCCAGAGTTACCTGGAGCCTCTTGAATACTGTAATTAAAGTTTTTGTTTTGCAGTTGTGCCTTAGTTTTTACATTTCTGAATGATGGACTGAGTTTTGCTTCTTTGGAATCAGCTGAAAACAGATACATGCTGCATTTTTCATGCTCTTAATGTGGATTTTTGCTTCCATTTCACAATTTACTCACCACTTTTTGTTGATCTGCCACATGAACTGAATCCTAACAGACTAAATGTTGGTTCCACTTCATCATCCTGAGTGTTTCTGACTTGTTGCTGCAGCGCCCCCTGCTGCCCCTTCTCTCTACTTCTCCTCCTGAGAGGGTGAGACCTGCTCCCAGCTCTCC